CCGACGATCTCCGGGTAGGATTCGCTTCGACGCTCAAACTTTTTCAGTTGACAAAGACTGAAATAAGAGGTAAGGAAGTATACCTAACAGTTTCTTATAAGTTGTAATAAGGTTTGGATATGGTCCATCTAGAGAAAGGTCCGTAGGAATCCTGCTTTCTCAGCAGGTGGTAACTCATCCATACCAATCGATAAACGCGGCGTGGTAGAATAATCTTCTAGAGCGACTCTTTAGTGGTAAGAATGCGATTCAAACTTCTTGTTAGGAGAACCAAGGAGAAGCCGCTACAAGTTTTTATTACTTCGACACTTTTAGTTTTTGATAAACTTTTTCTTTATCTACCAATCAATATGAGGGACGGATTTCATTCGGAGTATTATCCTCATACACTACTTGTCTTTTCCTTCCTAGGCGATGAAAATAAGTCTTGTTCCGCTTATGGGTGTATCGAATCTCCGTATAGAGAAGAAAGTGATCAAGTTAGCGCAGAATTCGCTATAGCAGTGTGAAAAAATCAACATGTCCTCCTCGAGAGAATGTGATCGATCTCGGGATGAATAGTACCCTTATGAAACTCCCACATCCAACGGCGATTTCCTTTCCGCTGGAAAAATGAACTTCCGTGAAACATATACGCGATAGATAGGAGTCTAACAAGATGCAACCACAACGTTGCTGAGATATTTGCAAAACTCTGGACCGCAGGTGTCTATGGTGGGGAACGAACGCGCTATTATCCTTTCCGGGGAGTAACGCGTTCACCACCACACCATGCGGGTCCTTTGTTTCGCACGTCTCTCAGCTATTTCTATCGATCTTTTTGCCACAGCAATCACCCGTCAGCGGGGTTGATCTGGGGAAAAAAGATAGAAGGCAGAAAACAAAACGTTAAGCATTGTGATTTCAACTACAGCCATAGCTTAACTGGGTTCTATGCCGATTTGCGCTCCCCAGATCAACCCCGCTGACGGGTGATTGCTGTTGCAAAAAGATCGATAGAAATAGCTGAGAGACGTGCGAAACAAAGGACCCGCATAGTGTGGTGGTGAACGCGTTACTCTCCGGAAAGAATAATAGCGCGTTCGTTCCCCACCATAGACACCTGCGGTCCAGAGTTTTGCAAATATCTCAGCAACGTTGTGGTTGTATTTCGCTTAGTAACCTGCCATGAAAATTATAGAAGGCAGAAAACAAAACGTTAAGCATTCTAACAAGATGGTTCCCATGCTTATTGGTAACAAACTTGTCTTGGAAGCTCATCCCACTCACAAGATCTAGGAATGGCGAAAGATAGTTTTCTCAGGAAATTGGTACCAGACTTCTATGCGAACAACTTACTCTCTATGAATCGGATGGGAGTTCTGGCCAAGAACTCCAGGCAGAATGGACTTAAACAATACTCAACGACATTCAGAACAAAGACCAAAAATCTCCAAGCAGCGGCTGACCTTACATGCGAGACCGATAGAGACCACGGATGATGGTTGCGGGGAAGAGAATCGAATGCAAGAAATCCTTTCATTCGCGCAGTACACGCCTTTGGGTTTAGCTGGAATCGTGAGGCCAGCTGCACCTCTCTGAAGGTGTTCAATGCAGGTAGTAGCCGACATTGTGAATCAGATGGAAGCTTGCCACCTTGCGACTGGTCTGATACCACGACGGTTGTGATTCCTTGTATCAATTTACCTGTGCTGTCTTTCCGGATGAAAGTTCTGCAAGTCAAGCTTCTTCTATTTGTTCTAATATTGAGAAACTATGCTGGGATGGTGGAAAATCGATAGGCGTAAATCGCAGTTCCACACCTATAAACACCTTCCCCCTTTATTTAGCAAATTCAGTTGGCACTGCCTGCGAAATATTTTGGTGACACAACATCTCAAATATAATTATTGTCATAATTCCAGGTCTAATGGAATAAAAGCTCTAAAAGCTAATAAAATATTCTAATGGAGTATTTTGAAAAAATTGGCCTGGAACTCCAGAAATCCCTCAACTGTTAAAATTCAAGAATTTCAATATGCGTATAGCAACTATTCCTTAAATAGGTCCTATTTCTATGTTACCTTATGTCTTCTACAATAACTGTTTTACTTGTAATCGTAATACTATTCTTGCATATTCTATAAATTGTCTCTCAACAACCATTTCATGCAGTAGCTTCGCAGGTGGCTGGAAAGGGAATTACAGTCAGCTGAATGTACTTTCCAGCATCTGACGTCCCAAAGAAGTTTCCGAACGAGCAGCTGCGTCCTTTCACATGTAGCTCTATCAGATTGTGCTAGGGAAGAACCTTTAGAACCTCTCTCTAGGCGCAGTCATTAGTTCCCTATGGCAAAGCTCCACCCGCTGCAGAATACAGGCAGGCTTCCGTCTTCAAGTGTTCGTAGCGTACGTCCAATGTTCCCCCAGTCCCTCAGTTCCTCACTGTTCCAACTCCACTGTCCGTTTAGGTTCCTTCAAGTGTGTCACTTGTTCTCATTTCAGTCTTGCTCGTATCCACTTAACTTACATATCGTCAAATATCATATATTATTATTGTATCGTTGTTGTTACTATAAACTGTTGTAGCCCAAACTCGAGGTTGTTCACGGCAGTTACCGAAAAAAGCCCCGCGTGCCGAATTCATAAAAAGTCGATCATTCCACGTACAGATGGCGGACAAAAGATAAATCCGACCAACTCCCTAATCCACAGGCCAACTAGCACAATGAGTGCAAATATCGCTAAATCCTATAATGCTTTCAACAACTATGCGATTCAACTACTGGTCATCCTGTTGTGCACACACATTAATCTCGTTCACAAACAGATCCAAATATGGACTATTAAATGACCCATGAAAGTATATCGGTTCCACGAATAAAAAAAGGATAAAGCTTTCGGCGCTAATCAATCCCTGAGGGATGTGCCATGCAGTCGGCTTCATTAATAATCGTTGGAGGCGCTTGAATGCAAATCTTGCCTTTACAGTAACTCGCGGTGGCCTACCGATGTATCACGCCAGGGCTGATATCCTCCTAGGGAACTATACTAACTTGCCGATCCCGGAGGGATAGAGGGCTTGGTGAGCCAGTGACGCAGGGATTGATCCCGTGTGTATTGCAGGGCGCCTTCGACCACTGCGCCACACGCGCCCTAGTTTTATGTATATAGTTAGAAATTGCCAATAATTACAGCTGACTGATTTGATCCGTTGGAAGTGAAGAAGTACATGGTTCCGATGCTTATAGCTAGCCTAGTAGCCTCTTTACATCCTCTTGCTTGGAGCTATCCAGAGAAAGCGCACGATTTCCAATTTGTCTGAGGACTCAGCTTTTCCTTTCACTCTCACTGAGTGATCGGTCAAGAACGAAGCTAAACTGGTCTTCCGTCGATATGATTCGAGCCTATAACACCGAATTGCTGACCACTGCGTGATTGTCGTTTGTTTCCCAGTCACTATCTCTAATCACGGCTACCGTGTGGAATGTGTGCATAGCGTTGCTATGTTGACTACCAAGCGCTAACAACACTCGTGGGTGGACGAGTCACCATAATACTCAATAAACTGAACTGTTCAAAAGATGTGAGAAAGTGCACAGAAAGACATACAGGACTGGAAAGGCTTAAAAAATATAGGTGAAAAATATATGAGTAACGAAACTACAAACAGATACGAAAATCGCATTCCAATCCGTGTGAGTTAAAATGGACTGTGCGTATTCATCTCCAAGCAAACCCTTAACATATTAGACGTGATCATCATCGCTATTACCCAGTAATAGTCCAGCTTTGGAAGTGTCAAGAGTCAGTCTCGAGATCAGACTTCTACTCTATTGACTCACACCACCTTAAAGAAGGACAATCCCACATCCAATCTGATCTTGTATTCCAACACACTTTTAGGTTGTTCCGTATCATTTTGTCAACTCAACTACACAATGCACATCTGAAGGTATTGAAGTGGGCAACAATGATTCCACAAGATGCGCAAGGGTAAGTATGTTAATTTAAAAGCAAGCACCAATCCGCCATCCAGTTGAACATATGTACTCCAAAAAAGCGCAGAAACTGATGAGCTATAATACAGATGTTGGCATGTGCCACAGTGGTCGGACGCGCTCTGCAATACATATGGGACACATGGGCTCGATACTACAGAAGCACCTGAGCTGCATTGGAAACACACTGATGGCGCGGAACTCCAAGAGCGATCTAGATTCGCCATATCAACACAAAGCTGAACGACTGGAAATGAACTTGGTATGAACTCATGAGACCTTAAAGCCAGTATTCAACGCAGTACTTTATCTTTCTCGCACCACACTGTTAGCGTGTTAATGCTCAATACATCTTCAATCATAGTCGTTTTTCCAACAACTACGAACAATATAAATTACAAAACTCTACAAACACCTCATGTATATTAACTATAACTAGTAAAAGCTGAAGTGTTTAAAGTACATGATAAACAAAACAACAACTGAAGTGTAACCTCAATCAACAGAGAGAAGGTCTACTGGTTTGAATGAAAAGGAAGCCTTTGAAAGACACCGATGATGCAAATTATGATTGTATGGGCATTACCTGAAAACATTAATGCACAAGATGCCTTCCAGAATATAGCGAGGACCTCTTGGTGTGTTGTAAACACAAATGTAAGAATGAAAACTGCATATCTGACTGCCACTTTAGAGAAATGGCAATGAGGTCCATGTCAGCTGTAACCAGCAACAAATGGTTGAATAGAGGTGGGAATACAGCTTGTGCATGTAAGACGATTATTCTTCATAAGCCGCACCACACACCATAACTATTACCACCGGTCTCTCTCTATCTCTCAAATCCGATTTTAATTCCAAGGAGACCTCCTCCAGGTGAGAGTCCATTAACAAAATTCAACACGATGAAAACAAAAAGCCTAAGCACTTAGTACAACCAACATATCAAGTAAAACCAATAGAATATTGAAGTAACGTCTACCAAAGAAAGAAAACAAAATGTAAACATGACGTATGAATTTAAGGAGATCCAAATGCCTCCTTAGGTATATTGTCCTTGTTACAGAGAAATGCTTGCCCAGCGGCCTAAAAATTTAAATAAAGAAATTTTCCTGGCAAGTATTGCAAACCGTGGGTATAGTACAACAATGATCAGTGGAGAGTTCTGTATCTACCTCATAGTTCCAATCGTAATCAACTAGACATTTTTCAGACCATGACGCAATCATGCCACTGTCCTTGCAAAATTGTTCTACCATTTGTCGCTTAAGTTCAGGAGACAGTTGACTAGACATCTGCAGACCGTCAATGGACTGAAAACAAAGTACTCTACAAGACGTTTCTATCTCAGCGTTGAAACATACACAGACCTGAGCTGCATTCAAAACAGAATCGCCAGTGGAGGTAGAAGGCAGTGGTTGTCGCACAGAGAGAGCCTGAAATACTTAAAATTTTGGTATATTGCAAACAAAAATAAAAGGCTGCACAACGGTGTTTAGCCCCGCCATTTCGGCACCGTCACGAAGAATAATACCAACATTTACCTTGTTTAACATTAGCTTGTATCGGGCAATTCGAGCTGAACTGATTCCGCTTATATATAACATATCGGAGAGCACTGCTACTGACCTTAAAGAAATATTTGCGGTGAAAATCTATAAAACATTTTAAAAGCTATGGGGAAGGTTGGTAACGGAAGTCTTCCTAATAAAACTAAGTGATCTAAAAGCTAACTTACTCGTTTTCCCGAGGAGAGACAATGAAAGATCTTGTAAAAAAATTTAACTGCGGCACTTCACCGGCCTTCGCGAATTTTCCATCTTCAAATAACCCCTGAACACTGAATGCCATCAGCTCTTCCTGAAAAAAGATAGCTTTACTTCGGATGAAATTCAGTGGTAGTGATTCACTTGAACCGATGCCAATAGAGGATCAACATCCTACCGATATCAGATGCGTGTCCACGATAAACGATTCCGTGTAATGATTCGTAATAGGCAACTTTGAAAGTGCTACAGCGATATCCATCGCTCCTAAAACTCAAAGAACGGGAAGTAACAGTCAAATCGCTACTGAATGAGGAATCACTACGAATGACTGTACTGACCTCGATAGGTTCGGGTGCTGCGGTTTCGCGACCACCTTTCCTCCCATACAACATTATGCGATACTCGAACATATGTATTATAGCAAGAACTATAGAAAGAACAATTAGATCTGTGAAATCAACGAACAAAGCCTCAATTAAAAATGATTCTGAATGGTAAATTAGTTAAAAAGGCTAAAACGGTGTTGGCAGCTTGAATTGCCGCACATTGATGCAAGATGTAATACAAAAATGTCAACACTACCAACGTTATAAAGCATTGTAAGCTTCGAAGTACCATGAAGAGTTCAAGTCAAAAATAAAACCACCAAAGTAAAAAAAATGTGGGACCCACAAAACGATATAGACTAGATGACAGTGAAACGTACTCGGTTGGATAACGAATTGGTCCATCGTGAGTGTTGTCTCTCAGGTTAGCAATTGTTAAAGTGAAAGTCGACTGGAGCACAAAATCAATCCCATTTGATATTATCACGAAGTTAATAAAAACTTATGACTTACATTTTCCTGATCATACGCTTGCACTAAGTTCTTTCGTGTGGCTGCCCCGTCTTCCCCGTCGTATAATTTGAAGTATTCCACAAGGAATCGTTCGACTAACACACGCAAATTATCATTTCCGTAAAATCCAGGCTAAAATAATTCGCTAACAAATTAGAACTGGACCAGAGCCATGCATCTGTCGCCTGACTCCACAAGTATTCTTCAAACGAGCAAAAGGATAAAAGTACAAAGACGCTTACTCCACACGGTGGTTCTGATGTTACATCATCATCATCCAATGACGGCACATGCGTTGATGCAGGCTGTACTGGAGCACCGTCCTGGTGGTAAACTTGTTAGTGTAAAAAAGAAAAAGAGAAAACATCAACAAGATAATGACTAACCAATACGCAAACCTTCGGGAATACTTGGTGAACAGCGCTGAATGTCATGAGATGAAATTGCAATTACTAACAAAAAACAACGGCAGTGACACTGATCCAAACAGGACACATTCTGGTAGAATGGGGATGTCCTGGTGAACAAGTGATCGAGTGCTTCCGTAATAGAATTTAAAGTGAAGATATACCAAAAAGTGAATAGTATGTAACAAGCAAAACCAAAAATCAACACGACTCTGAACTCGCATAACAATAGACCTGAGATAGCCTGACGCAGTGGTTAGCTGTTCCACAAGAGGATTTCCCTCGAAAAACAACGTCTCAACAGGAAGGCCCTTCAGTTTCTCCAATTCGCCGATCTTGTCGATCTACAAAGAAGGTTACTCCCACTAATTTTAAGTCCTACATCAGAAGTACGAACTAAAGAGCACGACAACTAGGAAAAACTCAGAAACTTCGGCAAAGTTAAGTGTGGATGAATTCCTACTACAACCTCACTTACCTACAGAAAGGGACCAGTGAAATAAACCTACCTGGTTATTAGAAAGATCCAGCACCTTCAAAAACTTTGTAACACTGGTAAGAACTGCAGCGTAATCAAGGAAACGTAGTCGGTTACCCTAAAAGTAACTTGGATTTTAGCATAGATAAGAAAAAATAGTTAAACGAATTCTCCACACAACGTAAGGACGGTAATCACAAATGAACTAAAAGTGGTCAAACAACGTCTTAGTTAGAGCTCAACCAAAAATACTAACCTGTAGACTGAGTGCTGTTATAGAGCCAAATTTCTCATCAATTCTATCAACCACCGTTAACATAACGTTGTTCTTGTTAAGCATCATATGGAGATCACGATCTTTGAATTCTGAAATGTGTGCGAAAAATGAGCAAACAGAAGAAATGTAACAAAAAAATCTGTAAATCAAAAAGAAAGCCTTACGTTGATCAAGGGCAAACTCGCTAAGGTCAAGCGATCGTGTCTCGTGATTATACCTGCTGTCAACAACTGCCTGAAAACCAATAGATTCTCGACGAACTTGGACAGTTGGCATCCATATAACAAAATCAATTTTTGCAAAATATAGAAGGCAATTTAGCCTGTGCAAACTGTCAACGCTCTTTCGCAGAAAAGACAACGCTTTGAAAATTCTTATGGCCAAGAAAATTCAGCAATACTTCTAACGTCATGAATCTCAGCACGAAAGAGAACCAAAAGTATTATGAAATTCCTTAATGAACCTGTACAACGGCAGTTTCTTCCTTATTTAACCGAGTCCATGGTGCCACGACTTTGTCAACTGTTATGATCATTCGATCACCTGTTACTCTGTGAACAATACGACGTGATATGGCTTTGCACGCATCGGCCGCATCTTCACTCTGATAATGATAGACATGTTTATGCGCATACTTATGTCCATACATGGATGTATATATGTATGTATATACTTGAACTTGATACTTGAACAGCCCGTCCTCACTGGTTGAGCGGGCCCCAGCACAATCTTGAAATCCCGAGGTCAGCCTGGTCAAAGTCTGCCCCAGATCGTAACCAGCACAGGTGTTCGTAGCCCTTGTGGATCAGAGGGAGATTTGCCACCATGCGACTTTGATACCAGGACGGTGGTGGATCCTGGTATTGGTTTACTCTCAGCTAGGCTTCCTGATGGAAAAGCCGGACTCCTCACCTTGGGAGGCCCAGCCGGGGTGATGAATCCCACCGTTGTACATCGCAGCCCGACACCCAGGAAGACCTCCTAGCCACGATGAGGTGGTAAACCGTTGGGAGGATGTATATATATACACGTACATATATGTAAATATGTATACACGCATGTACGTATATGTAATATGTCACAGCATAAGTATGTAAATGACGGTTTTTCGTCACACTGTGGCTGGGTGTTCCTGGGTGTCGGGTACAGCGGGAGATTCACCTCCCCAGCAGTCTCCCAAGCTAAGAGGGAGTCCAGTGTTTCCATCAGGAAGGCCATAAACCAATACAACGATCCACCAACGTCCTGGCATCGAACTTGGTGCACGGTCGAAATCCCCCTCTGATCATCAAGTGCCACAACTGCCTGTGGCGGTGACGACCTGGGGTGGACTTTAGCTAGACTGACCCTGAGTAGAGAACCACAATAGCTAAGCCAGAAAAAAAAATGGAATTTTTGCTGGGCCCGCACAATCAGTGAAGACGGGCCACCCAAGTCTCCAAGTATGTATACGCACAAACCTTTTGTCAAACTACACAGCAGGATCATATTTTGTTGACGGTAAAAACCTAATTAATATGCCGTTTACCTTTGCAAACATCAGAATACTGAAACATACTTTTAGAAGAAATTCGACGTCTCCTCTAGGTGTCGTTGAGACTAGTAATGGCTTAATATCCTCAATCTGTTGGTGTAATTGTTTCATTATCCAGGGCACAGCAAATTTCCGTCCAAATGGAATCTAAAAACGATTATATTTAAAAACTAAAAACTAGGATCAAATGTAAACCAAAGTCTACGAAGGAAAACGTCACGCACCTAAGAACTCATAACCTGGCTTGACAGCAAAAATCCTTACTGGTTACTAGCCAGTACTGAATAAAGGTAAAAAGAAACGCACTTTGATCTTATAAACTATTTCAGTGTTACGCGCCACACCAGCCGCACTTCGTAGTGTTTGTTCGTCCTTCTTGCCTCTTCTAGAGAGACCTTGCCCGTGCATTACACGACCGGCCAGCATGTTGATGACACGGGTCACAGTACCCTGCTTCGGTCGTGGCCTTTCTTCTGCAAATTGTAACTAACAAATCGTCATGATTACCATATAAACTACTGCTTTTCTTTCTAATAATCAAATAGGTAAAATAGGTAAAAGGTAAAGGTAGGTAAAATATGAGAACAATCAAGACTAAGCTACCTCGCATTGAATAGATCAATAACAAAGCTGTTCACGCTATAAACACTTAGTACCCTCAAACTACTTGAAGCATGAGGACGACTATAGGATGCTAATGACCTTACAGAAAAAGTATGAAGCAAAACGCTAGTAAGCCCCAAAGTACAGCCAGAAACATATATCGAGAACGGTTAAACCTGTCTTCAAAATAAAAAGTCGTAGAGTATCCAAACAAGACAGAAACACCACCTTCTTCATCATCGACGTATGAACTAGCGATATCCGCATCCAAGCGTGAAAAGCGATTCTTCGACAGATGCTTCACATCATGGCGATTGTAACGACTTATGGGCATGGGATCTGAAATCAATCAAACTGTGGCGCTCAGTAAGTGCTGTGCGGTCAAATCAGTCCTGAATACACAAAACGCCGTCGACCAGAAATCAGCAAGGAGAGAATTTACGAGAAATGAGACCTGTGGGACAAATACAGCCCTCACGGGTTCCTCCAGCGGTCCGGAGACGGTCAAAGGTGAGAACCGCGGTAACTCACGTGACGCAGGCTCGTGACGTTCACACATTTTCGAAATTAGCATTAGAGCAAGGAAACCGCAAACGCGCTTAGCACTCCGAAGCTTGTACTACGGAAGCACATCCGAACGAACGGCAGACTGATCCAGATCGACTTGGAGACGGACAGATGTATGAAGAATCGATGCGACGAGTGAGAGAGATCGCATGCGTGCAAATTGGGTGTGCAAGGAAAGTTCTGTAGCATATAGCCTTGCTTCGGGTGAATTGAATTGGTATTAGGGGAGTACAGCATGTGCTATATTTCGCTTCTATCTTAGATCACTTGATTTGTTTACTCGTTAGAATAATGAGCTGCCTACTTACTTGGATATTTAGACGGCCCGTTCTCATTAGTTGCGTGGGCCCCAGCATATTCTCCACTTTTCGGAGTTTTGCTGGTTTAGCCATTGTGTTTCCCTGGAGTCCCGAGATTAACCAGGCCAAAGTCTGCCTCAGGTCGCCACCAGAATAAGATGTCGCGGCCCTTGTGGATCAGAGGGAGGTTTGCGACTAGTTTGATTCCAGGACAGTGGTGGACCCTGCCATTGGTTTACTCTTAATTGGGTTTCGTGACGGAAACGCTGGAGTCCTTCTCAGCATGGGAGTTTTTGCTGGGTGGATGAATCCTCCCGCTGTACATTGCAGCCCGACGCCCAGGAACACCTCCCAGAAACGATGAGGAGGTAAACCGTTGGGAGGAATGCGGCGTTTGACGTAGTAAATTGCGTATGAATATATCTTTCCACGATTTGAAGAAGGCGATACTGTCGAAGCGTCAGCTTTAACGGAATAAAGAATGGCGTAACACCTCGTGCTTGCTGAACAAGAACCTAGAGAATACCACTTACACTCATGGAGCGATAAAGCGAAGTCTCTATAATTCTACGATGCTGTCAATCCATCAAGGCTTTTGGTATTCGAAGTATTACTGTTTATTATTAGCTGTTTCTTGATGAGCTTATTACACTATTTATTCACAAAAACTGACGTTCCGGCGGATTTCGCTTCTTCAAAGCCTGGAAAGCTCAAGTTCAGTGCAATCCAATGAGCCAAATAGCTCCATAGCCAAGGCAGAAAAAACGCTAAACTAAGATTTCAAATCACATTGAACACATAACTTCTTTGCACACTCACCGTTTCTATGAATCTCATACTGAGTATTCCACCTTGAGATCAACCGCACTGAGGTCACATGGAAACGTAATGTGCGCCTCACACATCAAAATATGTCTTAAATAATAAAGGAATTTTTCCGCTGATGGGGAAGTAAATGGCTCGAAAAAACGAGGTGGTCTGTGTAATCAGAGAACCATGCAGTTCAATTTGTCCCCGTCGCACCATGGGTTCTTCATGAACTGGGTCTTCGTCCCATTTATGCACCGCCCACTCATTTTTCCCTGCTTCAATGAGATCACTGAGCATCGTTTTTCTTCTATTCGTAAAAAAAATAAAACTCTCTTATTCGTACTTCCTAGAAGCATAACGATGTCGTCCGCATAACGAAATTTTGGTAGCATTGTTATTTCGTTGTCCACTGCAGTGCTGCAGTAAACGACTTTGGCATTCAGGTTTTGGCATAAACGGCATTGTGCCGCCTTTTCGAGTCCCATTTCCCGTGGATATGATGGGATATCGATGAAACAGCTGAATACTTGTGTTGCAGTTTCAATGACAGTCAGTATTCGTGTATAGGACTAATCCACTCGTTAGTCAAAAAGCGCTGATAGGATTTCATTCATTTCGACGCTGTCAAACGTTTTTTTATAATTTTAACTTAATATTTACTGCCTACTCTTTTTTAACGGCAGGGTGTACATTGCGAAATATAATTTCAACGATGCTGAGATATTTGCAAAGCTCCGGGCCCCAGGTGGTTGCGGTGGGGAACGAACGGGCTATTGTCATTTCCGGGGAGTAACGCGTTCACCACTACACCATGCGGGTCCTTCGTTACGCCTGTCTCTCAGCTAGCCCCATCGAGCTTTTGCCATCAGCAATCACCCGTCAGCGGGATTGATTTGGAGAGCCCAAATCGGTAATGAACCCAGTTAAGCTGAGGCCGCAGTTATAATCACAATTTTAACCTATTATTTACTTTTAGAGACAAGGAAAATAGCGCGTTCGTTCCCCACCGCATACGCCTACGTTTTTTCTATAGTCGATGAAGGTTAGGACAAGGGGCAGGTGGTGCTTCCGATAGATTTCCATGACACGGTTTCGATGTGGTTTCTGCAGAATTCCTGTCAGAACACTGCCCGCTCGACTGGTTGTGCCTTATCCAAGATCTTCGATATTCGCAAAAGAATAATCTTCGTGAGCAGCTTGTATAGTAAACAGCGAGCATACTGGACGACAGTTACCAAGGTTCCCTCGGTCACCCCTTTTTGGCAGGATTTTTTTTAACTTTATGAAGGTTCTAACTTCTCGTCTGAGAAAATTCTGCATTAGTCTGAGGTTGGAACAAAACTTATTTAGCGATAATGGTTAAGAACTTTGAAACTCCATCCTTTTCTTCGAGCGTTTGCTAGACGGCAAGAGACCCCAATAGTTGAGAGCGCGGACAATAAGGGGTAGACTGTACTTCATAAAAATTAAGCGGTGGCATGATATTCGTTGCCATCAGCATCATGCCTACTTCTTCACAATGAAGAGTTCATTCTTGAAGTACTGACTCATCCAGCGTTGAGTGGATCATGTCTTTATACCAACTTATCAGCTCTTTTCTTTTAAAAGTATCAGCGTCATCAAAACGAGGAATGAACTGGGCAAGACATTTAGTGTTTTAATCTACGCCTTTCGTAAGACGAAGAAATATACCCTAGAAAGGCTGTCCAAAGATTTTGGCTTCAACTCAATCATGGGTCGTACCCTGAATGGGATATTTATTTCGTTATAGAAGACACTACAGGGAAATTCGTTTTTTCAGAACTATCTCAAATGCTAGTTCTTTAAAAAGCCAAGGGATATTAACTGAATGGTGTTCTAATTCATGTGTGGAATTCTAAAGCTAAAATTCCAGACAGCATTCGCAGATGACAAGGATTCCGTTATTGTTGTGATCTGCACAGTAGATGTGATTTCGTAACCCCAAAGTAATGCTCTTTTTCTGCGCCATCACATTTGGCGAAAACATCTTTGAAGTAGTGGATACCAACTTTTCCTAGAATTAAGAGCGAGAGGCCTCATTTCAGAGACCATACATCGGCCACGTCATCGTAAGAACACCTTAGCACAGCAATTTGTCGGAAGCAAGGCTTGATGTTAGTGGTCCGTGGGAATAATCTGTTCCATCACGCTATTACCCACCGAGAGCGATTATGATCCGTAGAGGTAAATGCACGAAAAGTGTTTAAATGTGCTTGTGTGGGCAAGCACACTACATTTTTAAAAGTTAAATAGCACTTTTTGTCCTCACGGAAATGAGCACGTGAGGCCTATCTGTGTCAAAATCATCAGCAGGACTTCTTGGAAACGTCCTTGCTTTCCTCTTATGATCCATGTCTCGATGTGGTGTCTTCGTCGTAGTGTGTAAAGTTATAGTATTATTTCGCTATGTGCCTGATAAGAATGAACCGAGCCTTAGTTGTTTTTTGTCCTATTATTCCACTAGCTCGTAAGTTTGTCGCAGCATTGCCTTATCGGGGGCTCTTTCGATGTTGGTGAATAAACAATAGATTATAAAAATTAGCAAACAAACGAGTATCTATTCATAGAAACGGCAGCAAGCGAGGTCATTAGTGTGCCATTCTCTATTATATTGGCGAACTACTTTGCAACATGACCCCAATTTTTGATCTGAACCGAAAAAGCACAGCAGGCTGTTTGCTCTTCCCTTCGACTTCTTGGTCAGGCACCCAAATAATAATTCTAGCTATCCAGGTTAACTTATCACACTTTTCCTGGAACTCGGCTTAAAACGATTTCAGACCAATCCAGTTCAAGTTCTCTTGCACAGGAGAGGGAGAGATAGAATATTTATTGGCACCAGCTCGAGTTCTATTTCAGTAGACACGCTTGCAACACTGATCCTGTGACGAGGTTCGGATACATTCATCCTCGATGAAATCTGAAAATAAAACGCAGGGAAGAATGCATAATTATCACGCATGGCTCGACCGGGGAGCCAGTAAATCGTCTATTTCTCGTAGGATATAAGGTAATATACAACCATACAGATGCTAACTAAGATGCTATAGCAAAGTTTGTAAGTGTAATTCCATACAAGATAGTTAAAAATATCGTCCATTTTCGTCAGCGCCATTGCGTTCTTAAGTGCCTCAATGACCGATATGGATCGGTCCTTGTTGGTTGTCGAACCCAGATGCTGTGGAATCATGGTAGCTCAGTGGTTTGTACATCAATCGAAGCTGGCAAAGACGGCTGGAAAATCCATATTTGTAAATACAACGGCACTGCATCCTTATGCTGCGCGTGCACCTGATACAGATCAAGATTATGCGCCGGCGCGGATAGAAAGCTGTCTACCCCTTAAGCCAACGTATTCATTGCCAAAGAGAAAAAGACCAATTGATCCGTGCTTGTATAGAGAATTCTCTATTTGACAGAGAAATTTTCTGTACAAGCTTCGTCTGCATCAATGAATGTTCAGCACCTTTCCAGCATTTTCTGCAGCGGACAAAAGTGGGTAGGTGCCCAATTCCTTCATTTTCGATGGTTCACCGGGCAGTCTCTATGCGACACCTACCGATATAAGGAAGTGAGCGGCTTGGGGAGCTTTCAAGCTTCTTATTTAGTGCAACCTGATTCAATCGCTTGAGCAGAGAGTTCTTTTGAAGAGTATAAAAAAGCTTGCATAAAAAGTAGATATGAAAGCGATGCAGCTGCTAGTACGGAATGTTCTTATGAATGCGATACTATAGCTTGTATAGAAAGCACATCTGGAAGCAGTGCAATAACTTGTGCAGAAAATCTGTAGTATTGTATATTTTTATAAATCTCATTTTTTGCACTTCTGCTGCTTGTAACTGAATAACAAAATGATTGTACT